AGGTACGAACTCACCACCTAGTTGTGGAAGGATGCAAAGAAAAAAGTGCATTAATATTCTAGTTGAAAAGAGGAAGTTAGAACGGAAGCATCAATGTGTCTCATATAGATGGCTCTCTTTATTCAAACTTTCCACAACACAGAAAAAAACATGTATATATATAATTAATCAATACATCCTTCTTTGAAGGGGAAAAAAATATATGTAATCTTCCCTTTAACAAGCAATCATCTATCATAGATCATCAAACACTTCTGTGGGAATGGTTTTACAAAAATAAAAACAAAATTCATCTCATTTACTAATCAAGCATAATAATAATCAAATTCCCTTCAACATTATCCTATGCTGCCTTACAGTTACACTACCTAGGATCAAATATCATCAAATGTAGCTGTATAACACATAATATTCTGGAAAAATGCACCTCATTATACAGTGCAAGATCAAAAGTGCATAAAAACAGGAGAGTTTATAAGAATATTTCATAGTACATTTAAAGAGTACACTATTCACAAAAGTATATACATATAATTCTAAATCAACAAACTGCTCTAGGAAAGTAAAAGACCTTTTAAAAAATGAAAAAAATAAACAATTCAAAAAAGAAATTCTCATTATTTCATGAAACTAGAAATTAATTATGATTTGTGAATTACCAAAGAAACTAAATACAAGAAAGACATGGCAAAAGGGAAGGTTCAAGTCCATTTCTCTGGTCATGTTTATCTGTTTCTTGTTCTCTTCATTCTACTACTATTTTCATGCATGTGTGTGGGGAGGGGGTATGGATATATTGAATAAGAGAGAGAGAAAAAAGAAGGGAGAAAGAGTGAATGAGACAGAGAGAGAGAAAGATTGAGAGAGAGAGAGAGAGAGAGAGAGAGAGAGAGAGAGGAGAGAGAGAGAGAGAGAGAGAGAGAGAGAAGAGAGAGAGAGAGAGAGAGAGAGTGAGAGAGTGAGAGAGTGAGAGAGTGAGAGAGTGAGAGAGTGAGAGAGTGAGTGAGAGAGTGAGAGAGTGAGAGAGTGAGAGAGTGAGAGTGAGAGAGTGTGTGTGTGTGAGTGTGTGTGAGTGTGTGTGTGAGTATGAGTGTGTGTGTGAGTGTGTGATCGGTGGGTGTATAGATGGGTGGATGTGTGTGGATGTGTGTGTGTGTGTGTGTGTGTGTGTGTGTGTGTGTGTGTGTGTGTGTGTGTGTGTGTGTGTGTGTGTGTGTGTGTGTGTGTGTGTTGTGTGTGCATGTCTTGTGTGTGTGCATGTCTGTGTGTGTGCATGTCTGTGTGTGTGCATGTCTGTGGTTGCATGTTGTGTGTATGCATGTCTGTGTATGTCTGTGTGTATGCATGTTGTGTGTATGCATGTCTGTGTGTATGCATGTCTGTGTGTGTGCATGTGTGTGTGTGTGGGCATGTGCGTGTGTGTGTGTGTGCTGTACGTGTGAGTGTGCATGTGCGTGTGTGTGGTGCATGTGCGTGTGTGTGGTGCATGTGCGTGTGTGTGGTGCATGTGCGTGTGTGTGGTGCATGTGCGCGTGTGTTGCGTGTGTGTGTGTGTGTGCGTGCATGTGTGTGTGCATGCATGTACGTATGCAGTTGTGCATGCGTGTGTGCGTGCATGCATGTGCATATGTGTCTTTGTGTGCTGTGCATGTGTGTGTGTGTGTGTGTGTGTGTGTGTGTGTGTGTGTGTGTGTGTGTGTGTGTGTGTGTGTGTGTGTGTGCACGTATGTGTGTGCGTGTATGTGTGTGCATTTGCCTGCATGTGCGTGCGTGCTTGTGTGTGTGGATGGGTGTGATGTGTAGTAGATGGGTGTGTATATGCGTATATGTGTGTGGATGGGTGTGTGCATGTGTGGATGGGTGTGTGCGAGTGTGGATGGGTGTGTGCGAGTGTGGATGGGTGTGTGCGTGTGTGGATGGGTGTGCGTGTGTGGATGAGTGTGTGGTGTGTGATGGGTGTGTGTGGATAGTTTATGGTGTGTGTGTGTGTGGATGGGTGTGTGTGTGTGTGGTTGTGGTGTGTGTGGATGGGTGTGGTGTGTGGATGGGTGTGTGGTGTGTGTTGTGAATGGGTGTGTGTGTGTGTGAATGGGTGTGTGTGTGTGTGAATGGGTGTGTGTGTCTGTGAATGGGTGTGTGTGTCTGTGAATGGGTGTGTGTGTGTGAATGGTGTGGGTGTGTGTGTGTGTGTGGATGGGCTTGTGTAATGTGTGTGTGTGTGTGTGGATGGTGGTGGTGTGTGGGCGGTGTGTGTGTGGATGTGTGTGATGTGGATGTGTTGTTGTGGATGTGTGTGGTGCGGATGGGTGTGTGGCGTGGGTGTGCGTGGGTGTGTGGATGTGTGAGTGTGTGGATGTGTGAGTGTGTGTGTGTGTGTGTGTGGCATGTGTGTGCGTGGATTTGTTGTGTGTGGATTGTGTGTGTGTTGGATGGGTATGTGTGGGATGGTGTGTGTGTGTGTGTGTGGATGAGGTGTGTGATGGAATGGGTGTGTGTGGATGGGTGTGGTGTGTGTGCTGTGTTGGATGTGTGTGTTGTGTGTGTGTGTGTGTGTGTGTGTGTGTGTGTGTGTGGTGTGTGTGTGTGTGTGTGTGTGTGTGTGTTGTGTGTGTGTGTGATCGTGTGTGTGTGTGTATCTTTGTGGGTGTGGGTGTTGTGTGGATCTGTGGGTGTGGGTGTGTGTGGATGCTGTGTGTGTGTGTGTGTGTTGTGTGTGTGATGTGTGTGTGTGTGTGTGTTGTGTGTGTGTGTGTGTGTGTGTGTGTGTGTGTGTGTGTGTGTGTGTGTGTGCATGTGTGTGTAGTGTGCATAGTGTGTGTGTGGTGCATGTGTGTTTGTGTGTGTGTGTGTGTTGTGTTGTGTGTGTGTGTGCATGTGTGGCATGTGTGCATGTGTGTGTGTTGTGCATGTGTTGTGTTGTGTGTGCATGTGTGTGTGTTGTTGCAATGGTGTGCATGTGTGTGCATGTGTGTGTGTTTGCATGGTGTAGTGGTGTGTGGCATGTGTGTGTGTGTGCATTGTGTGGTGTTTGTGGCATGTGGTGTTTTGCATGTGTGCGTGTTGGTTGTGGCTGTGTGGATGGGTGGGTGGGTGTGTGGATGGGGGAGGGTGTATGTGGCATGCTTGGTTTGGGGTGAGGTGGGGGTTGGGTTGGGTGAGGGGCGTATAATGCTTGAGCATGAAGTAAGCCTTCAATGTGTACATGTATGGATATAGGCATTAGTGTTGTATATGGGTTAGCCTATGTATCGCTTATAAAAAGCCATGGATGTGTGGTGTGAAAAGTTTCTATGGACATATGGTGCATTTGGAATGCACCCACCCATGAAAACTTCTTATCAAGTATATAATCTAAGTGTATCGCACCAAGTATTTCATCACAAAAAAAATTTAGTGCTTTTGTGAACAGAAACTAAAGACTCAATTCTAATACCAAATGAAATGCGGAGAAAATAAACATACTGTAAATTTAAAGAATCACTAAATGTTGTTCCTTTAATATTGTTTAAAAATAGTTTCAGTTTACAGAATACCTATACCAATGAAAATATGTTGCTCTTATTCAATACAATGATACAAAAAATAATAATAAAAAAAAGGACATTCACTTCCGCTAACAAAATTTTATCAACCCAATGAAAACCATCCGATCCTTGTAGTTACAAAGCCACGAGACAACTGTAGTTTAGGGGCGTCTAATGTTTCTAGAGCATGTACTAGTAGTCAGCGTGTAAAGGGCAGGTGGGAAGGGAGAGGGTTGGGTACTTACTCGCTCAGGTTGGGCGCAGAGGAGCTGCGCATGCCCGCGGCAGAGGCTCTGTGCGAGGGGCCCTGATGGTTTCGCTGCGACCCGTGACTTGTCTCCATTCACTGAGATGCCCCGCCTACCGCCTTCTTTCTTTTTTGCACGTATCCTCTGCGCAAAGCATACCGAGAGTTATCAGCCTGATAATACCATGCAGGTAAGGATAGTTGTGTTTTAGCGTGATGAACACGGAGAAATAACAAGAAATTTAGTACAATAACTTTTAATCCGCTTGTTTCTACTCAAGGTATGATAATCTTCAGAACCAACACATTACTCAATCTGAACACAAAATTGGCGTGACATTCAAAAAAAAAAAACAAAAATATAACTGAAATCGCCAACTAAACTAAGGTCAAAATTGATCGTCTCTTGCACCAAAACCCCTAGTAAGAACCCCAGGCAAGATATTGATGCTCAATAATGAGTAATTAATAGGTAGCTGGAGAAAGGGACAACTGGGACGTTTGCGGCTAACACATCCCGAGAGTGGATTCCTCAAGCCACGTCGCAGACCCTAGATTGGTTGATGGGGGCCCAATCCGAAAAGAAGTAATTGGAAAGTCGCGGGGCCGCGGCAGTTGACGCAACAATCCATTATTTGTTTCACAGTTTGGTTGCTCGACAGAGTTACAAGGCCACATTTTGGCGCGTGTCTGTTTCTCAGCTCAGCATATGGGACAAAATGGAAAGTTACGCGGGCAAACAGCATCTCTTCACCATCTGTGGGGCCATTGGTCAGAAGGTCTGCTGACTTGTTGCTCTGTTGTGGGGTGTTTCTGTGTGCGATCGAATAGCAGTAAAGTTCTCAAGGGTTTATGGACTGGTAATTATAGTATAAACAAGGCATGGTTTAATTAACACCTATAATGCATAGATCGTTGCATAATTAGGAAGCGAAATACTTGCAGGAAAGAGGAAGCACTATAAATTAGAAAAAAAGTATACGCATTAGGTAAGATATTTTTTGACTAATATAAGGCTGATGCTGGTGCAATGCTAACAAAAGTGAGGAAATATACCCCTGAACGCTTTATGTAATTCGACTCACATACTTAGTGCCGTCAGAAGCCCTTCGATTTTTGTATTTTGGAATAATTGGTCCGCATATGACTAGCCAGAAGCAATTAATTTTGAATTGAATGTCAATCAGCTTACAAATGCTGCTACAAAGATAATTAACATCAGCTTTAACTACTTTTAAAGTGGGCAGAGCTTGTGACGGCATCTAGCCATTCTCAGTTAAGGCTTTGAACATTAAGCATATATACCATAGAAAATGCATATGGTTACAAGGCATAGCAAAAATTGATAGACATACTATCTAGCAGCACATCTTATGGCCTATGCCATATACCTCTGATATTACGTAGGCATAAATAAATATAAGCTAGAAAAGCTATGTGAGCTTACGTAAGAAGGCTATTTTCATCTGATAAACACTAACTGGGTCATTTTAGCTTGGCGAATTTAGTTCCTCCAAAGATTTTTGTCCATTTTTGTTACTTTATGCAAGTAGCATTTTTTTTCCAGGTTCAAATTTTGGACAGGGCAGCAAAGACGCTTGAACTGATCAAGTTGTTAAATCCTACTCCGCGATTGTGGGAGGTTGAGTGCAGTTTGGTCTGGACGCCCAACATTGTGCATTTATTCAGCAATCGTTGCGGACCATTTTAGAAATTGGTGCCAGTGTTTCTCATATCTCACAACAGTCGCAACAGTTGCTAAATTAGGGAACAACAATTTGGATTGTTGCTCAGTTGCTGGGCATCTGTATCAGGACAATACAGATACAATGTTGCTCAACTGTCTCGATATAATGTATCTTGGTCTGGGCTCGGCTTAACTGACATCCGAGCATGATGCCTACAACCATCAAATCTACACGATCTTAATTAAAAATTGAGGCTTATATTTCTCTCCTGAATGGTACATTTACTCCACGTATAAATCCATATACTTTGGCCCAGGCGATGAGACGCTGTACTATGCCATTCACCATCTCCACGTCCTGCAATGTAGACCTATGTCTCTGAGAGCCTCCTCGGAATGAATCCCAACCGAAGCATTCAAGAACTCAATTCAAATTGCTTGATTACAAAACGAACAAAAACACGGTAAAGTACTCTATGTCAAGCTCAATTCTCCCGTAACACAACCTGACTTCCCAACATTGCATGTTTCTTAGCCTTCTCAGAAAGAATTTCTAAGCCTCCTCCTCGGTATTCACGAAAGGCCTGTAGCTGATCTTTACCAATTTGTCTTTGATTTCCGTTGTTGTCCCATTTCAAAGTTGTGCTGGGAACAGATGAAACATTTACATCGTTATTGACTATGAAGATGGTTGTTTACACTAATACGTTCAAACGACATACTGCAATAAATCTTACTTGTATAATGGCAATAGTATCACATCATATATTCATCTGAAATTTGGGTAAATATAGGTTTGTCATTAAATTGCTGTGAAGCCGCGTCAGGTGTCATTATTTATTTTCAAATAGAAATCTAGTGTAAGTATGCAGAAAGCAGATCAATTCCATGTTGACAATGAATCTTTATGGGAATCCGAAATCTATTTGTCATTGCTGATGTGTGATTGCCAGACTCGACAGCTGTCTCTAACTCCCCACGAAATGTCTGCCAAGTAGTCTTTGTCTATGACAGGTGTGAGTGTCCCGCGCCCGTTGGGACCTTTTTTAAAAATTCAGTGGAAATTGACACACATTTGATGATAATTCTATATCGAAGCCCCGTTTGATTCATGGTCAAGCATAAATTTAGCCATTTCCTACATTTTACTGCTACTTTCTATTCATGTCTTCTAAAATTTTATCCTTAAGTATAAGGACTCTAATTTATACTTGACCAATTTTTCCTTTTGTTGATGATTATTCCACCTTGGAAATAATAAGAGAAGCTTTAAATCCTCTACTAATTTATTAGAATATTTTATTGAAGTGGCGTCCGCCTTTGCAAATGATGCAAACAAACAAACAATAAACAATAAACTTAGGGATGCCACATTACATTTAAATATACTAAATCTGTAATATTACCGTTATGATATAGGCATATTTACCTTATTGTCTTATTACAGCAGATGGCCAATATAGGGTCTATAACGATTTAAATGTTTGTTTTATTACCAGCATTAATTTTGTGATGTGTTTCGGGCAAAACATAAACAAAACAAAGAACAGTAGTCATGGACTTTTCGTGAATAGCAGTCATATACTTTTTCTAAATAATTTTATTATCTTTATTATTATCATTATTATTAATCCCTAAAGTTTGGTTCCTCTCGCTTCTAAATTCCCAACATGCAATTTCGTGAAATGATACATTATGAATCTGAATTCGTGAAGAGAAACAATAAAATTTGCAACATAATGAAAAATAAGTCAGGGCGATTAGTTTTTTTTTTCGAAATGATAAAAATGAACACAAGACATCGTTTTTTCTAATAATATATCCTTTGATATATCATCATTGGCCCCGACATGTGTACATGCATATTCATGTGCGTGGTTGGGAGGGGGGGGGGGGTAGGGTGTGTGTGTGTGTGTGTGTGTGTGTGTGTGTGTGTGTGTGTGTGTTGTGTGTGAGGAAGACGTGTGAATATATATATATATATATTATATATATATATCTATATATCTATATCTTCTATCTATCTATATACAACACACACACACACATACACAATACACTTATATATGCATATAACTATTAACCTCTCATTCAGTTTTGATTATAGTTTAAATGAATGCCATATAAAAGGCACTATAAACGTAACATAGAAAAGAATGTAATAAAAGAGCCATTTCATTAACTTATGATTAATCAATGATTTGATACCGATTTAAATTTCCCAAAATTCACTAGCACTAAAACGTTGTCTAACCGTCGGACTCTCGTGCACGTTCGCAAACGAATGAATACACGAAACTGTTTCGGACTATTTTTCGAGCATGTTCGAACGAAACTCTACCGGTACTATTCGCACTGCAAGAATTAACTTATGTCTTTTAACAAGGACATGTATTTTTGTAGATAAATAACACGAGGCTCGACATAATATATCTATATTTTGGAAAGATTCATGGACAGACATATCAGAGTAGGGATAAGTCAGATATGCGAAGTATTAAATAGCTGCATTGAATGAATTACACTTGGCGTTTGTCAGTTGCCATTTCCTTCCCGAAATTTGGTATACATTATAATTTCCATCAATACATTTTTTCCCAAACAATCCCAGTTAAACACAATTACTGTGAACAAAAACTCATAACCCCGAATTTCCTCCTACTTGTCACATATAACTTTATACTTAAAAGCGTGGTATCTAAGTCATTAGATAAAAATGATATTAAAGCAAACACGATCAACATAAATTTAAGGTAAAATTGATTATTATCGTTATCAACATCATTAATATCATTATCGGTATTCATATTATCATCTTTATTATCATTGCTATATTTTTTTCTGTGCTTGAGTGCAAGAACTGATTCTGCCTGCATTGCTCTTATTCGTAGATAACGATAAATGCTTGAAATATAATGAAAAAATAACCATCCAATAAAAATGTATGTCAGTCATTTTTTTGATTAGGCAAAGCAAATACCACAAAAAAGATTATATCTTCATTATACGTATGCATTCATTTCTTATAAAGATATGGTTGAGATCGATCAAATATATATATATATACATCTTGAACTGTGAAGAAACACGTTCTCATTCACTTTTTTTCTACATATGTCGCAACAAACACCATAATTTTCACAAATATAAATTAAATACAACAATCATTTTATTCAGTAGACACAAAAAAGTCTTCTCCATTACCTAAATAAGGCACGTGATTCCTTAAATGTTGTAAGAATGTAAAATATTTCATAAATAACCCGGGGAATGATCACTTTCTGGACGGTGCGTGCTTGGGTAACGGTCGCACGCCATGTTGCATGTGGGGACCGTCGTTACATGGAATTTATTTTGGAATTATTATGATTATTTCCTTTTTTGTGTGTGTGTTTGTTATTGCTGTACTCTATCTCCCGTGATTTATGTCCTTTCTACAAGTTAGTATTTTTATTATTTTCTCGTTTGTGTCACCATTATCATCCTAAATTCAACGTCTTCAAAAATGCTTATCTCAACAATCCACAAACAACCAGATTCAAAATTTTGCTAAATATCTCATCCTGGTATTTTCAATATACCTCCTAAAAGACCACATTATCTTTATCGTTCGCTACCATAGAGAACCAGTCGTATTATCATTAATGTAATTATCTAGGAGACAACCCACAGTGGCTTCGAAGTAACCGACTCTTGATTACCATTTCTATAACAGAACATTTAATCCATTTGAACTCTGCGAACTAACAACCCCTTCAAAAGATTGATATTAATAGACTATTCCACACGAAAATGCATTCCAAGAACCTGAATCAATACTAAGGTCAAAAGAGGTCATACGGAAATCCCTTCTACCTATAATCTAGTTATTAACTGCCCGAAAGGTTAGATTTCGATAAGTGTACAACATAAAACCCAAGAATGATTTACTTACAGAATAAAGAATGGAAATATAAGCTATATGCACTGTTGCCTCATTGTCCCTTGTTGACTGTAACAAACTCGTAATACTGTAGGCCTTTCTATTTGCATAAACTGTTTTAAATTAAATTACATTGTATTAAGTGAAAATGGGATCCAAATAGTGCACTAAAAGGCTTTGTGTGTGAGATGAATCATAAGAAACAGGTCCTGTGTGCTTGTTTTGCTTTTTCAATGATGATAAAATAACAAACAGGTGATTCTATAATAGCGTCATTTCATTGTTAAAAAAAATTAGGCGGTTACTATCGTTGGTGCAATTTGTGTCGAAGAAAAAAAAAAGAAATATAAATTCTTGGCCAGAATAATAACATTTTGCTCCAGCGAAACTTATTATTAACAATGATTAAGAAACGAAAATTACTCTCAAAGACAAAGGGAAAACATCGGTGAAAATGTACACTGCAAATTTTGTTAATTTGAAAGAAAATTAGCGAAGGGTGTTGGTAAGCCAAACACGAGGAGGGATCCATTGAGACTCTTCGGATCATGTCTCATTCTCTCTCTTCTCTTCTCTCTCTCTCTCTCTCTCTCTCTCTCTCTCTCTCTCTCTCTCTCTCTCTCTCTCTCTCTCTCTATCATCATGCACACGCGCACGGTAAGCACTATATTTTAAAGACATGAAAGATTATGAAACAAGGAAGCGGTAAACAAAGGCAGAAGACACAAAGGATCTAAAACTGGAATGCCAGTCCTAGATACCAAGAGATTTTCTTTGACAGCAAGAACACGTAAAAATATGAAAGAAAGGAAAAAGAAAAGAAGAGAGGGGAGTGAGTGACAGATGAAGAGAGAGAGAGAGAGAGAGAGAGAGAGAGAGAGAGAGAGAGAGAGAGAGAGAGAGAGAGAGAGAGAGAGAGCAAGCGAACGAGCAAGAGAGACGAAGTTAGAAAGAAAGAACGAGAGAGGGAGAGCAAGCGAACGAACAAGAGAGAGGAAGGGAAAAGAAAGAAGAGAGAGAGAGAGCAAGCGAGAACAAGAGAGAGGAAGTAAGAAAGAAAGAACAGAGAGGGAGAGCAAGCGAACGAGAGAGAGAGGAAGGAAGAAGAAAGAACGAGAGAGAGAGAGAAAGAAAGCGAGAGCAAAGAGATGTTTATATACACGAGAGTATTTCAAAGACCTCCCTTTGGCGGACTTCCTTTGATGACTCTAAGTCTTATGATTGTCTTGTCTTTTTGTCCTTCCTCCTTCTCCTTCTCTTCTTGCTTTATTACTCTGTGTCTTCTTCCATCCTAGAATTTCGTTAAACTTTGCATCACAAATTATTAAGTGTCTGTATATGTCTGTCTGTCTAAAACTATCTATCTGTCTATCCGTCTTTCTAATTATTTATTTATACGTTTATGAACATAGGTGGGAGGGAAGGAAGAGAGAGAGAGAGAGAGAGAGAGAGAGAGAGAGAGAGAGAGAGAGAGAGAGAGAGAGAGAGAGAGAGAGAGAGAGAGAGAGAGAGAGAGAGAGGTTTCTGAAGAGGAAGGGAAGCAGAGAAAGAGAGAGAAAAGATAAACCGGCCAAATATATACGCAACACACGCCATCAACCCTAGATTCCATCCGCACTGTATACCCTAAGTATTATTCAGATTTCCATTTATTTCCTTCTTTAAACCCCCACCCCCTTTCTCCCATATCCATATCTTCTCAGTTAAAAAAAAAAAAAAAAAAAAAAAAAAAAAAAAAAATATATATATATATATATATATATATATATATATATATATATATATATATATATATATATATTTCATCGATCCCACCCATATTTTTATCAAAAATACATGTATACCATAATCTAACCCGTTTTAGCTAAGTTGGTCAAGCTATTTTTATGTAAATCGATACAAACTCCTACGCACTCCCTTTGCCTTCCTGTAGAGGGAGCACTTGGCCCATCGCCAAATGATGGTCGAAAGAGAAAGAAGTAAAGAAGGACAAGAAAGGAGAGATGGAAGACGGTGGAAAGGAGTGGAAGAGTAAAAGTGAAAGGAGAAAAAATGAGGAAAGACAGTGGGAGAGATCAAAGTAAAATACTAAGGAAATTAATGATCAAACTAACCTGATGAAAGAAATAAGATAAAAACGGCGAATGCATTATAACTTTTTAAAAAAGATACTCTATTCTCGGAACTAGTTACATTTTAACGGTTTCTTTAACCGTCGTCGGTCATAACGCTAGAGAAGCGGATGCAAAGCCAATGGGAAATCGTGTTACAAGATGTTCCTTAGAGCGAAGCGGTGATTGGTCGAAAGATCTGTGTCCGAAGAGGTGATTGGCTGGCGGCTAAAATCGATAGGTTGGAAAAGCCGCGTAGGATGTGCGCGAGGCTATATAAAGGGCGGGACAACTTTAAGATCGTTAGTGTAGGACGGATCGCCGACCGAGAAGTAGAGTGGAAGTCTCCCTCTTCAAATGAAATTTTTCCTCAATGTAACGATAATAATAAATAATTACGTGGGAAAATCAACATCTGATTTCTTGCTAAAACTGAGTGCATTTGAATTTCGAGGTAAGTGATTGTTCTTGATTCAGTGAAGGTTTTAGGGAAAAGTGCAATTAAATATTTGAATTTTCGTTTTATTGGCGTGCTCTTCAAGAGGAGACCAACGAGATAGACCTATAGCGAAACTGCATTGGGCATGGTTTATTCTTCGGTAGGTTTCCTGCTAAAATACCAATACTGATACAACCCAAAAGCCCCTCCCACTTCAGTAGCATTGCCCATGGATGCAGCAACCCTTGATAAAATTGTAAATTTAAGGATATACGCATATAAATCCATATGAAGTGTCCAGCCATCGCTAACTTATACTTAATACTGTGAATAGTATCCTCACCCTCTCTCAGGATACACTACCTCAGAGGCAAGAAGGAGAGAGAGGTAGGGGTCAGAAGAGTCACCCTGAGTCCAAGACAAAACAAAACAGGCTCCTGAAAGCCTTGAGGAAAAAGGAAAAGGCTTCAGGCCCGCTCAGGACAAGGAACGAAAATCGTCCTCATTCTATTTTTTGGAAAGGAAGGGAAGCAGGCAGTGTACATACCTGAAATATTTTGTAATGATTGA